ATATTGTGAGATTGCTTGGTGAGCTCCAAGTAGCTAGATTTCTAGTTATATCTTGGTTTCTGAACTGTAAATTCATTCATTAGTTTTGAAGGTGTTTATGGTTGTTGATAATATTTCTCTGAAGATTGTTTTGAATTTTAGTTCACTTGCCAGTAATGGAAGCCCTCTATTGTTACACATATAATTTATTTCTTATGAATAAAATATTTTTGATCACAACTAATATAATACAATAGAGTCCAATGGTTTTGTAACAAATTTTGCACTCTGCGAAAGTGGCAATTAAAAAAATTGAATAAAGATTTCACGAAACAAAAGAATTGAAGAGTGAATAATTTGAAAGTAAACTGTAAAAAAAATGGAATATACTAACATATGTTTGAAAAATGTAAGACTGGATCTTTTCTTTTTGAAATTTTCATTGTTGACTTTTGGACTCTTTTACGATGTCATGTCACTTGATTTGAGTCTTAGTTCTTTGGAGGTTCTTGACTTACTATTGTATAGACTATGTGAATCGCTTGTTCACCCTTTTGTAAATCTCTGTATATAAATAATATCATTTGCGTTTCTTCTGTAAATAGAAGGTGTATAGCTATTATTGAGAAATTTACTTAATTTTGTATATTTTGAAATATTGTATTGATGAAAATGTTATAGATCACAGTCAGTGAGCAATGTGGTCCAAATATTTTTTTTAACTGTTCTTTCTGGTTGCTCTGGCCTGACGGCTGATTTATTCTTTTCTATTTGGGCATATTATGGTGTGTTCAGAAAATATTTTGGTGTTGATAGAAATAAGATCTCTATTCAATGTTATTGCATTTCATGGGGACATTTGACCTCTTTATAATGCGCATTCCTTTTGTTTGAAACATTTGTTTGGTGTTCACTAACCCTAAAAAATAAAGAATTCTGTCCTCAACTTCCCTTCCGACGTTTCTCAATTTTTCTAGTAAAGTGGTCAGCTTCCACAATTTTGTCAAATCCAGTTTACAATTTTGAGGAGATGAAACCCTAAGTGGTTGGGCGTGGTTAAGAAGGTTTGCTCCCTTCATTGACTCCTGGGTTCAAACCACCCTGGGCCATTTACCACATTTGTGGTTTACCTAGAACTTAGGCTTGTAGGGTGTTCGATGGGTCCGGGGATTAGTTAGGTGGTGCAAGCTGGCCGACACCCCATTGTAAAAAAAAAAAAAAAAAAAATAAAAATTGATGGAGATAGGTCTCTTTCAGATATATCGGTCGCAACCTCAATTTCATGTAATATAAAAAATGGCCCCCATTGAGTTTTAGATATAGATAAGATTTTCAGGGGGATTATTTAATTTCTGTCAACAAAATATAGTGTCACTAATCATACTTTTCATTTTAAATATTATTTTGAGATGGAAAGAGTGAGTCTCTTTCTTTGTTTTAATTCAAGCTCTATAGTTTTCATTGTTTTCTCTACTTTTTAACACTGCAGTCATGTGCAAGATCTCTGGCTGCTAGGATTTGTATTAATTACTCCCAAACTGAAATGTTTAAATTGATTAGTTGATAGGTAGTTCTAATTTGTAGAACTCAACATCTATAAAGAGCTTGAATTGCCACTTTAGCAAACAGATCAAGTTATTACATACCAATAATAATCACTTTAGCAAACACAACTTATAAACAATAATACACTTTTTTCACACAATGAGGAGATTCGTAGACAAGACCATTTGATAAACTTGATTATCACCACCATCATTTTACCTAAAGATTTAAGTTGATCTGTAATATAGCCCAACCTAGCAAACTTGTTTCATTTATATATTTTGTGTTTGGGGATTGCATACTGCAATACGCAATGACTTTTTTCTATAGTTGCTGTGATTGTGCTCTGTGTCATTAGCAGCTTTTGGTTCTTACCAGTGAGCTTAGAGCCAAACAAGGAATTTAAAGTCTTATTCCAACAGTCTGGGGCTGATTTGTTGGTCAAGTGTGATTCATTAACATCTAGGCTATTGTACCTCATTGTTCAAAAATATATTTTGCTTCTGTTAAGCGAGGGTGAGAGTATGTAAGGAGAGGGGCCTGTGGTGAGTTTTGTTTTTTGTGAAATGTGGGTTTTTATATGGTTTTTATATCATATTTCATGTGCATTTTAGGTAAGGTCACATGAGCATGTACAAGGATTTTCGCAAACCATGGTAGCCATTTTGGCCTGGTGGAGTTTTGCTGAGATCAGTTTCTGTAGCCATCTTTCGTGGGTCTTTTCGGGAATGCATTTGTTGTCATTGAACTGTTGCTTTTGCAATCCATTATCTTAGACTCAGTAGTAATAGTCTGGTTATCTTTGCAGCACCAAATGTTGAAAATTCCAAAATTTGGGGAGAAGGAAAGATATTGCATTATATATATGTGTAAAAAGCTTACCTATGCATACATATTTTCTAAAATTTCAATTTTGGCAGCTGTTATGCGGTCAGATGGTTTCGAATACCTCAAAGAGAACTGCCCATCACTGCAATCAGGCTGCTGAAGCAGTGGCAGGTTGTGAGGAGGATTGCAGCAGTGGGGGTGGGAAATCTCGAAGCGTATGCTCAACTTTCCGATGGGGAGATACAATGGCAGGAGGGTCAGGCAAAGAACCTGACATCTGATGTTGCTATCTTTGTAAATGGGGTGATGATGTTGTGAAAAGATTTCACAGCTAACGGAGTGGACATGGCGGGAGGGCCTGGCCTTCTTTCTTGGAAGTTACTAAGCCTAAGATGTGTAAACGGATTGTTGTTAGATGGTGGGCGTTTACGTAAAATATGACTAAACTGTGTTACTGTTTACTATAGTGCTTAGTAAGAAACATGGCTCGGTATCTTTATTTGGCCGCTGACAACTTGTATAATTCTCTCGGTTGAGATGGAGTTTTGTTTGATTGTTTTGTGTTTTTGTGCATGACCGGAACCCTCTTGATAACAATGGATCACACGACACAATGGGGTTGAAATCAATGGATTACACAAAACACAATGGGTGGCAAGCTCAGTGCCCAAGTTTGACACCAAAAAGGATACATATATCCATTATCACTACATAATGGAGTTTAATAAAAGGGTTTGAAGTGAAGTATTACTATCTAGGAAACTAAAGAAAAGACAATAACAAAAATTAAAATAAAAAATTGAAAGCTTTCTTTCCTTGTATCTTTAGCAGTCAATTGTCTGGGCAATGGAAAGAATTAGCCATAATTTCTCTAGAGAACCCCAATGTAATGCCGTAATATAAGTGTGCTGACAACGGTGGAGGAAGCATTAAATCACTGTTCTCCCTCCTTTATATTTAATTCAAAAACATTTCTTAGTCATGGCTACAGTCATAACATTAACTCATTTAACCATACACAACAAAAAACTCATTTACAAGAAAAAAAACGGTTTTTATTTTCTACATTGTATAATAGAAAAATAATTAATTCATCAGTTATTATATTATAGAATATTTATCATTTATTTATATTATTAATGATTAATAAAACATCATGAAAAACAATTCATCAATTAATTAATATTACAGTAAAAATAATTTTGGATTATTTAATTTTATATAAATTTAATAGTAATTAATTTTTAATATAAATAATACAAATAAAAATATTTTATTATTCATATTTAAGTATTAATTAATTTTATTTATATTATTGAAGGTGAAATTTATTTTAATAATATATAGGCCGAAATAATTTTGGCTCTTGGTGGTTTTTGGGAATACTATATTAGTATTCAAAAAAGTTAAATAGTAAAATGCCCAAAACTCACAATATTATCAATATTATTCACTTTTTTTAACCCCCTAAATTTGTTAATTTTAATACCCCTAAATATTTTTTTGAAAATTATGATTTTTATTAATTGTATCAAATCATTAATTATTTTGGGTTGTTAACTAACCTTTTTCACTGAGTTTCACCATATCTCAGTATTTCTATGGTAAGCTTGCTCAAATTCCAACTTATAATACCTAAAATAAAATGCAGGGACATTTCAGTCATTTAAGTCATTAACCTCACACATAAATGGGTTGATACAAAAACACTTCCAAAACTACCAAACACACCCTGCCGTTAATTTTGTCTGTTAAGTTGGATGTTGACTCAGTTTGACTTGTGAAAAGTTCGATTTGCCCCTAAAGCTTTCAATTAAATTTAATTAATTCTCTTTGACTTATGAAATGTCTTACTACCATTAAGCTTTTCAACTAAATTTAAATCAAACTTTAAAACTAAAATGCCTAAACTAAGAAAACTCTAAAGTAAACCCTAAACCAAAATGCCTAAACTAAAAAAACTGTAAGTAAACCCTAAACCAAAATGCCTAAACTAAAAAAACTGTAAAGTAAACCCTAAACCAAAATGCCTAAACTAAAAAAAAACTCTAAATTAAATAAAAAATATTTTTTTTATTATTTATCCTATCTCTAACTTACAAAAATGATCAAAACTGAAAAATTTAAATATCCAAATAACTTTTTAATTTTTACATAAACTAATTTGAGTTTTAGTTTTTGAAGAAAAATTAGAAAATTTTCTTAATTATGTAAAATAATAATTTATTTTAAAATTAAAAAAAGATTAAGTGATTATAGTAGCTTCGGCTGTGATCTGCCAAGGTCATAGCCTTTTCTATTGTGATCTTGCTTGCAGTAGTGGCCTAGCAACTAGATCTGGTTCCGTTGGTGGTCGGCTCTTTTTTTCTTCAATTTTTTGTATTTTTTATAACTTTTAAAGATTTTCTTTTATTTTCTGATTTTTCTTTTTGAGATTATTCAACTTTAGTTTTTATTTTTTATTTTTTATTTTTCAGATTATTCAATATGTTAAAGTCTCCTTTACCCTTCATCCTAATTAGAGTAAACAATGAAAATTGACGGAGGGGGTGTGTTTGGTAGTTTCTGAAGCTTCTCAAGTTTTAGGGGGTGTTTTAAGTATTAATCCCATATAAAATTCTCTTGGAGCCCTCCAGCCTCGCGTGGCAGTTCTCAGCTCCGTCTTTCTTCAAACTCCGTAAACTCATTTCCTTCATTTCATCACTCACAAACCCAGAAAACCCTAACTGAAAAAAAAATTCTCTGATTATTTCATTTCCATTCAATTCAATTCAATTCAATTGAAACTATTCAAATTCAGATTCAATTTGAAATTCAAATTCCTTCACCATTTCAATGAAGCAATGAGCAGCAGCAGCCCGAGCCCACTGGTGTCCCCGACGAGCTCGCGGTCCGTTACCGAAACCGTGAACGGCTCCCACAAATTCGTGATCCAGGGTTACTCATTAGCGAAAGGCATGGGAATCGGGAAGCACATTGCCAGTGACAATTTCACGGTAGGCGGTTACCAGTGGGCCATTTATTTTTACCCTGACGGCAAAAATCCAGAGGATAATTCAACATACGTTTCAGTTTTTATTGCATTAGCGAGCGAGGGAACCGATGTGAGAGCGTTGTTTGAATTGACGCTCGTGGATCAGAGTGGTAAAGGAAAACACAAGGTGCATAGCCATTTTGACCGCTCGCTTGAAAGCGGGCCTTACACACTGAAGTATCGAGGGAGCATGTGGTAGGTTAGGTTTTAATTCTGAAATTTTGACAATGAAGATAAATTGTGAATGAAATAGTAGATTTGGTTTTAATTGTCTTAATTGTTTTGATTATGATGATTTGTTTGTTTCATTAATGATGTGAAATTTTTTAGGGATTTTGTATGAGATTGTTTGGAATTTCTTATTCGTTTCATGTGTTGTGGCCTTTGTATAGCTTGTTATTTTGTTTCTAGTAATGTCACCACCCTTTTTGTGTTGATTCCGGTTAGAATTTGTTTTATACAAGTTCATTTTCTCTCTCCCATTCCAGTTTTTCTGTCTCGCCAAGTCTCCTTCTCTCTCACATTCTTTGTCTCTGACCAACTTTTGTTTATTATTTTTTAAGTTTATCTTACTCTCTTGGTCAATCGACAAAAAAACTGAATGTCAAACGCAAATAGTTGCCCAATTGTGTGTAAATATGTTAATTTAGGAGATATCGGAGTCTTGGAGAAAATGGTAGCTTCTAAAAATCTGGGGAAAGATGCAGCTTAATCAAGGGGTAAGAGGATATAGAAGAGTTGTGTATATGTTCAATGGTGGCAAATTCAGCAGCAACTCATTTTTGTTTGTTCTTTGGCTGAGCTAGCTTTTTCTCTCTTTTTAAGATTTGATAACAATGTATGTAAAAGTTCTGCATATGTAGTTGCTTGATGCACTTGAGAGAAGTATAATTACAATGGAAACTACAAAATTCAAATTTTAGTGCTAAGTGGGACTAAGGTTGCTTTTATAAAATCCCAATTGGATCTACTGTTCCTTAGATCTTTAAATACTACAGAACTTATCTTGCAAACAACTTATATATATAGGCTTCAAGTGCCAGAAAGAGAGGGAAACAAAGGCATTAAAGAAATTGTAGCAGAATGAATGTTTCAAAAAAAAGGAGAAATTATATCAAGGATCCAGAGAAAATTTGCTTAAAAGTCTGATAAAGAGAGTAGGACAGCTCCTCACACATCTTCAAGTAGCATAAAAGGTAGCAGGAGTAGGAAAGATTCAATAACTGGGTACAGTTTCATCCTTTCTACATTGTGAATGTGAAATTCACTAGATTTGAGGAGCCAAGAAGAAAGAAGATAAGTGACTTAGTGAGACTAGAGAGGAAAAGTGGAATGGAAGAGAGAATGAACATATAAACAAGGAAAGTACAAAGTAATTGCAGAGTTAGTGTAAGCCATCATTTAATCTACCATAGGCTTTCAACCACTTTTCGTATTCAAAGCATATTCAACCCTTGGGTTGGATTAATCCAAAGGTTCAGAATCTTGGTCTGCTAATAAGGGAGATGTTTATATATAATATCATTGATGTTTATTTCAATACCAGATGGAGTCTAGGGAATTTGCAATCTATTTTTTTTTTTCCCTCTCCTACTATGTTTTTCTTGCTAAAATGAATTTGTCGTAAATGTAGATTTCTAATTTGCAAATTCCAGGTCCTACAGCTCAAGCTCATTTTACAGCTTCTTATTATCTCAATTTTATAATTCTTTATACTTGTCTTTGCGCGTTCTGCTAACCTAGATTCCATTTTTTTAATAATTGATTGTATCTGTCAAATTGTTTGATTTCCGTATGTAATTTTGTGTTGTAGGCAGAGTTAATGCATCACAATTGCTCTGCTATCTCTTATTTGTAACTCAGTTAGACGTATAGTAAACTGATGTTGAATATTGTTTACCCTGTGATTCATTTTACCCATTTGGATGTTTATTTAAGGACAATAATATGTTCAATTTCTTCAATATAGGGGTTACAAGCGTTTTTTCAGACGAGCTTTGCTTGAAACATCTGATTACCTCAAGGATGATTGCCTGAAGATCAATTGTACTGTTGGAGTTGTGGTTTCAGCCATAGATTGTTCAAGGTTACATTCAATTCAGGTTCCAGAGTCTGATATTGGAGAACATTTTGGCATGTTATTGGAAAATATGGAATGTTCAGATGTAACCTTTGATGTAGCTGGAGAAAAGTTTCATGCTCACAAGTTGGTTTTGGCTGCTCGATCTCCTATATTTCGATCTAAATTCTTTGAGGTGTTAGAGGAAGATAAGCAAGAGATTGTAATTAGTGATCTAGAGCCTAAGGTTTTTAAGGTGAATTCATCTCTTATTGTTCCTATTGTTTTGCATGAGGTCTTTGGTGAGCATTTGTTCTCTTCTGACGGTATTGTATGTTTCATCACTGTTTTTCTCTGCTTCCTGCAGGCCATATTACACTTCATATACAGAGATTCTCTTACAGAGGATGTGGACGTGGCGGGATCTGGCTCTTCTTGTATGTCTTCTGTATCAGATACCCTAGTTGCAAAGTTGTTGGCAGCAGCAGACAGATATGGCTTGGAGAGACTCAGATTGATGTGTGAATCTCATCTATGCAAGGATATTTCTGTGAATTCTGTTGCCAAAATCTTAGCCTTGGCCGATCAATATCATGCTACAGAACTAAAAGCTGTTTGCCTAAAATTTGCTGCTGAAAATCTTGCTGGTCTGTTTTCGGTTTCCTCTTACATTTCCTTAACTATATGTGAGAAAAAATCATAACTGCTGTTTAGAAGTAAAAGTATGATGACTTTTTTTGAGCATGAAGCTTGACCTCTATTGAAAAATATCTTATATATGCTAGTATGCATCTGTTTGTTATTGACCTTGTGTTGATCCTATTTCCTTGAAGATGAATTTTGCTGTATAGTTAATAGATATTGATAAGGACCTATAATTTTATTCTTCACTTATGGATGCTTTTAGGAGTGTATAGAATGATAAAAGTTCACCTGTAAAGCTTTATACTAGAAATTTATTTATATGAAGATCGCTTGAGTTTTTATGTCTATCATGCTTCAAGCAGTACCCACAAAGACATCGTGAACTGTTTTTGGTCTATCAAAGTCGATCTTTTCAGAAATGTGATCACTTTTGTCAGATCAACTTGTAGCAGCAGTGCTATATTGGATAAAATCAAACGGATTTGAATATGTACTGGTTAAAATTTGTTGACTGTGAATATCAACCAACTGGCTTAGTGGAGAACAATGTTTTCAATAGAGGGAATATGGAATTAAAGGCAAAAACAAGATTGTGATAGCTGTATTTGTATTAGAAGGGATTATTCCTGAATAATATTAGGTCTGGTGCTGTTAAAGTAGTGTAATGCTGTTCTGAGTTTTATGTTGTCTATTATATTTTGTGAGATTGCTTGGTGAGCTCCAAGTAGCTAGATTTCTAGTTATATACTTGGTTACTGAATTTTAAAATTCATTCATTAGTTTTGAAGGTGTTTATGGTTGTTGATAATATTTCTCTGAAGATTGTTTGTAGAATTTTAGTTCACTTGCCAGTAAATGGAAGCCCTCTTATTGTTACACATATAATTTATTTTCTTATGAATAAAATATTTTTGATCACAATACTAATATAATACAATAGAGTCCAATGGTTTTGTAACATAATTTTGCACTCTGCGAAAGTGGCAATTAAAAAAATTGAATAAAGATTTCACAGAAACAAAAGAATTGAAGAGTGAAATAATTTGAAAGTAAGACTGTAAAAAAGAAATGGAATAATACTAACATATGGTTTGAAAAATGTAAGACTGGATCTTTTCTTGTTTGAAAATTTTCATTGTTGACTTTTGGACTCTTTTACGATGTCATAGTCACTTGATTTGAGTCTTAGTTCTTTGGAGGTTTCTTGACTTACTATTGTATAGACTATGTGAATTGCTTGTTCACCCTTTTGTAAATCTCTGTATATAAATAATATCATTTGCGTTTCTTCTGTAAATAGAAGGTGTATAGCTATTATTGAGAAATTTACTTAATTTTGTATATTTTGAAATATTGTTATTGATGAAAATGTGTATAGATCAAAGTCAGTGAGCAATGTGGTCCAAATATTTTTTTTAACTGTTCTTTCTGGTTGCTCTGGCCTGACGGCATGATTTATTCTCTTTCTATTTGGGCATATTATGGTGTGTTCAGATAAATATTTTTTGGTGTTGATAGAAATAAGATCTCTAATTCAATGTTATTGCATTTCATGTGGACATTTGACCTCATTTATAATGCTTGCATTCCTTTTGTTTGAAACATTTGTTTGGTGTTCACTAACCCTAAAATAATAAAGAATTCTGTCCTCAAGCCTTCCCTTCGACCGAGTTCTCAATTTTTCTAGTAAAGTGGTCAGCTTCCACAATTTTGTCAAATACCAAGTTTACAATTTTGACGGAGATGAAACCCTAAGTGGTTGGCCTGGTGGTTAAGAAGGTTTGCTCCCTTCACTGACTTCCTGGGTTCAAACCACCCTGGGGCCACTTACCACATTTGTGGTTTACCTAGAACATTAGGCTTGTAGGGTGTTCAATGGGTCCCGGGGATTAGTTGAGGTGCGTGCAAGCTGGCCTGGACACCCCAATTGTAAAAAAAAAAAAAAAAAAAATTGATGGAGATAGGTCTCTTTCAGATATCTGGGTCGCAACCTCAATTTCATGTAATAGTAAAAAATGGCCCCCATTGATAGTTTTAGATATATAGATAAAGGATTTTCAGGGGGATTATTTAATTTCTTTCAACAAAATATAGTGTCACTAATCATACATTTTCATTTTAAATATATTATTTTTGAGATTGGAAAGAGTGAGTCTCTTTCTTTGTTTTAATTCAAGCTCTTTATAGTTTTCATTGTTTTCTCTACTTTTTAACACATGCAGTCATGTGCAAGATCTCTGGCTGCTAGGATTTGTATTAAGTTACTCCCAAACTGAAATGTTTAAATTGATTAGTTGATAGGTAAGTTCTAATTTGTAGAACTCAACATCTATAAAGAGCTTGAATTGCCACTTTAGCAAACAGATACAAGTTATTACATACCAATAATAATCACTTTAGCAAACACAACTTATAAACAAATAGAATAACTTTTTTCACACAATGAGGAGATTCGTAGACAAGACCATTTGATAAACTTGATTATGACACCACCTTCATTTTACCTAAAGATTTAAGTTGATCTGTAATATAGCCCAACACTAGCAAAACTTTGTTTCATTTATATATTTTGTGTTTGGGGATTGCATACTGCAATACGCAATGACTTTTTTCTATAGTTGCTGTGATTGTGCTCTGTGTCATTAGCATGCTTTTGGTTCTTACTCAGTAGAGCATTAGAGCCAAACAAGGAATTTAAAGTCTTATTCCAACAGTCTGGGGCTGATTTGTTGGTCAAGTGTGATTCATTAACATCTAGGCTATTGTACCTCATTTGTTCAAAAATAATATTTTGCTTCTTGTTAAGCGAGGGTGAGAGTATGTAAGGAGAGGGGCCTGTGGTGAGTTTTGTTTTTTGGTAAAAATGTGGGTTTTTATATGGTTTTTATATCATATTTCATGTGCATTTTAGGTAAGGTCACATGAGCAATGTACAAGGATTTGTTCGCAAACCATGGTAGCCATTTTGGCCTGGTGGAGTTTTGCTGAGATCAGTTTCTGTAGCCATCTTTCTGTGGGTCTTTCATGGGAATGCATTTGTTGTCATTGAACTGTTGCTTTTGCAATCCATTATCTTAGACTCAGTAGTAATAGTCTGGTTATCATTTGCAGCACCAAATAGTTGAAAATTCCAAAATTTGGGGAGAAGGAAAGATATTGCATTATATATATGTGTAAAAAAGCTTACCTATGCATACTATATTATTCTAAAATTTCAATTTTGGCAGCTGTTATGCGGTCAGATGGTTTCGAATACCTCAAAGAGAACTGCCCATCACTGCAATCAGAGCTGCTGAAGACAGTGGCAGGTTGTGAGGAGGATTGCAGCAGTGGGGGTGGGAAATCTCGAAGCGTATGGGCTCAACTTTCCGATGGCGGAGATACCAATGGCAGGAGGGTCAGGCAAAGAACCTGACATCTGATGTTTGCTATCTTTGTAAATGGAGGTGATGATGTTGTGAAAAGATTTCAGCAGCTAACGGAGTTGGACATGGCGGGAGGGCCTGGCCTGTCTTTCTTGGAAGTTACTAAGCCTAAGATGTGTAAACGGATTGTTGTTAGATGGTGGGCGTTTACTGTAAAATATGACTAAACTGTGTTAGCTGTTTACTAATAGTGCTTAGTAAGAAACATGGCTCTGGTATCTTTATTTGGCCGCTGACAACTTGTATAATTCTCTCGGTTGAGATGGAGTTTTGTTTTGAATTGTTTATGTTTTTGTGCATGAACCGGAACCCTCTTTGATAACAATGGATCACACAAGACACAATGGGGTTGAAATCAATGGATTACACAAAACACAATGGGGTAGCAAAGCTCAGTGCCCAAGTTTGACACCAAAAAGGATACATAATATCACATTATCAATACATAATGGAGTTTAATAAAAAGGGTTTGTGAGTGAAGTATTACTATCTAGGAAACTGAAAAGGTAAAAGACAATAACAAAAATTAAAATAAAAAATTGAAAAGCTTTCTTTCCCTGTGTATCTTTAGCAGTCAATTGTCTGGGCAATTGGAAAGAATTAGCCATAACTTTCTCTAGAGAACCCCAAATGTAATGCCGTAATATAAGTGTGCTGACAACGGTGGAGAGAAGCATTAAATCACTGTTCTCCCTCCTTTATATTTAATTCAAAAACATTTCTTAAGTCGTGGCTACAAGTCATACATTAACTCATTTATTATCCATGTAACCATCACAACAAAAAACTTCATTTACAAGAAAAAAAAACGGTTTTTATTTTCTACATTGTATAATAAGAAAAATAATTAATTCATCAGTTAATATATTATAGAATATTTATCATTTATTTAATATTATTTAATGATTAATAAAAACATCATGAAAAACGAATTCATCAATTAATTAATATTACAGTAAAAATAATTTTTGGATTATTTAATTTTATATAGTAATTAGCTTTAATTATTTAATATTAAATAGTAATTAATTTTTAATATAAATAATACAAATAAAAATATTTTATTATTCATATTTAAGTAATTAATTAATTTTATTTATATTATTTGAAAGGTGAAATTATATTTTAATAATATATAGGCCGAAATAATTTTGGCTCTATTTGGCTGGTTTTTGGGAATACTATTATTAGTATTTCCAAAAAAGTTAAATAGTAAAATGCCCAAAAACTCACAATATTATTCAATATTATTCAACTTTTTTTAAACCCCCTAAATTTGTTAATTTAATAAATACCCCTAAATATTTTTTTTGAAATTGCAAAAACACCCCTAAACCCACATTATACCACATTTTGGCCACCATTGTTGGAAGTTGGCCGGAATCTGATATAATGGCGCACTACCGGCTGAATTTGGTCGGTAGTGCGCCGATCTAACCTTTTCTGACCAGATCCACGGTGGATCTGGTCGAAAAGGCCAGATCTTTGGCCTTAATTAGACGTCAACGACGGCCAACATATGGTCGTCGTTGACCATCAATGACGGTCGTATCTTTGGCAATCGTTGACGAGCAAATGTGGCCAGATCTGGCCTTTGCCGGCAAGATCCACCGTGGATCTGGCCGGCAAAGGCCATATCGGTGCTCGACCGGCAAGATCCAGTGAGTTATGCGTCGATACAACGACTCTGGCCACCCTCTGGCGGTGGTGGCCAGCTATGATTGTTCAATGGGTGGGTTAGGGGTGTTTTTGTTAACTTTCAAAGTTTTATTATAGGGGTGTTTAGTAAATAAACAAACATAGGAGGTATTTTTATTAATTTTCAAATCCTACATCGTAATACCCGCCTAATTCAACTTTTTTTTACTTTTTTCAAAAAACTTTTCTAAAAACTGCAAAAAAGTGAACCAAACGGAGCCTTTCCCATCCTACGTTTGTAGAAACACATTTTCGCACCCCTTGAATGGAAATAGCACACTTTACCACCATTCGATGCTCTCCGTCCAGGTAAAACTTTCATTAACCAGCTTTGATCGTTTAAACATCATTTTTTTTTTATAGTCTTTATTATATTTATAGTCTTTATTATAATAACAAATAACTAAGAAAATCAAATCAATAATCTTTTGTTATGATTAATTTTTTTTCCACTTACTCCTTGGAGTCCGTTTAGTTCGGGTCATGTAAGATAACAGGGATAATCTTTGTTTATTTTGCAAGATTCTGTTATTTGGTTTGCAAGTGATAAAATATTACGGGTATCTTTTATTGCAAACAGTGTTAACTATTGGTAATATAGGGGGTAATCAGATACTCTCTCCAGGTGGTGTTATTAAAAGATTATTGAGCTAATATGATTTTTTATATCTATTTTGCCCTTAATTAAATACCATTTCGGACATAATTACCTCAAATGTCCACCAAATAACCATCAAATCCCCCTACATTTGAGAATTTAGCTAAAACACCCCAACCACAAAAAAGTTTAAATATTAATAAAATACCCCTAGCCACCCAGGACTACCGCCGGCCGCAATCGCCATAATGGTGCACGAGCAGCAGGATTTGGCCTGTCATGTGCTAGTAAGGTCGTAACAGCCAAAGATGTGGACATGAAACGACCACAGATTTGGCCGTTTTACAGTCGCTGTTTCATAGCCGCCGTTTCACGATCACATCTTTGGTCGTGAAACGGCCGTGGATCGTTGATCCATGACCGAAAATGGCTTTGTCGGTGCACAACCGACAATATACGGCCAGTTGTGTTCCATTCTGTCGGCGGCCAATGGTGGTGGTTGGCTGCCGGTAGTGGTTTGGGGGGGTGGGGATGATTTTGCTACAAATTGAGTTTTTATAGCTGAGGTATTTTAGCAAAATTTCAAATGTAAGGGGTTAAAAAAATGATTCAAATAATAATAATAATAAAAATATTATATTAATATTTAAAAAGGAGGGCAATTTAGTAATCTATATAACATACCCACTCATTTATTATCCCAACCAAACATATAAATATATCACCAATTTATTCCAATTAACCAAACACATTTCTCTAAACATTCCTAGTAATTTTCAAAATGATCTATCTTTTCATTAATATAACATCCTCCTATAATAAAATATTATATGAACCAAACACACCCTTGTAGTACCCGAAATTCTCCAAGGGCAAAATAATAAGAATCCCTATTTGATAATGGTTGCCCATAAAGTAAATAATATTAGGGACATCCTTCAATATAGGAAGTAGAATCATAATCGAATAGAGGAATATAATAGGAAAAGGAATATGAGTTAAAATAGGTAGTGAATGTGGATAAGATATGATCCAAATAAGGAAGAGGATACTACATTCTCCTAAAACACTTGAAATCCTTTTTTCATTGGAAATCGTACAACGACAAGGAAATTAATTCTCTTAAACCCTAATCTACTTCACTATATAAAGGGGGCGAAACGACATGGAATGATATTTCAATATTCACTTAGAGAAGACTCGTAGTCAAGCACTCTGAATTGAAGTTGATCACTGTCGTATTTAGCCTTTGCCTCTATTCTAACCTTACAATCTCGCATGAGTCCTTTGCAGTTCTTTTGTAAGAAAAGAGACCGGCGTTGTAGTCAAAGATCATCTCAAGAAGTCAACGAGTTAAGGGCGGAATCGTGAAGTTGTGTTTTGAAGGGCAAGAAAATACTTTCCTAATTTGGTGCGAATTTTGGCATCAATTGTTGGCGCCACCTGTGGAAAAGGTATATAGAAAGCCGCAACAACAAACATGTAGGGTTTTAATTGAATTGATTAGGTAGTAGAGTTTAATTTTTTTTCGATTGACAACCCGAAAACCCATAGATCCTTATACCAATTACATTGTTTACATGTTAAAACAAATAAAAAATAGACCAGATTTGATTTCTTACCAGCGTTTGATGGCTCCTTCTCTGGATTTAGTTGTTTCGCTTTCAATCCAAGAATAGGACTGCACGAACAGTATCCACACGAAGATAGGATTGCTCACAGTTGATTTAATTTGCTAGATTAAATTAATGCTATAAGGATTAAAGGTGTGCATAATTTTTCAAAGAAAATTCTCTCATTTTCTTATGTGAAAAAACATTGGGTGGCTAGGGTTTGAGTTTTTTTTTTTCATTTATTTTATTTTAGTTGCCCCTTTTATAGTACAACCAAAATAAAACCCTATTCCTTATTAGAATCGTTATTTGAATAGCATTAACCTAATTACCAAACATAATTATTAGGACATTTTTATTTATTTTATATATATATATATATATATATATATAAGTAATGACCTCAACAAATTTAATTGCATTGTGAGATTACCAAAATACCATTTCATCTTAAAAGAAGAAATTGTCCCTTTTACATTATAATCCTCAAACTATCTTCTAATTGTGTAACCCGTAGGCTCCATATTATATTGGAAGTGAGTACTACCACGATTAATTACCAATTAATCGTCTCACTATACACAGACCAAGATTGGTCTCTAACAAAGCATCATGACCACCCAATAGACATAGACTTAGCGCTATCTATCAACGGTATGGTTACCATGCAATTCAATCCCTTCATCATCTGTTATCTCGTCAAGGTTGAAGTACATATATGGTGTCAACTTCAAATTACTTCCTTGATATATTGGCGTTTGGTTATCAGACTAAAAACAAAATAAAATGGATATGAGCAATAACTCATTTCCACTGTGGCCACAAATTTATAATTGTTTCCATAAATTAAAAAGCTGTACTAGATAACTTCTCCTATACCCAGGAGTGATGAATCTTTTGTCAATCCACAATAACCATAGTGTACTTCAAAGTAGTCAATCACTCCTGTACTAATAACCCTAAAAAGGACTATGTTAGACTAACATCAAACTATACCAATATTTACACACGACGCTCTGGTGATCTTAAGTTTAAAGATCACATGCACCACCATCTATTAGAGGATATATTCCATTGACACTGGGATTACTATCTATATGGAATCCTTTGGTGGCTTAGTCTAGTGAACTTGCCGACTACAAGCACCCATGTGTTGCACCAAGTTGTCACCAAACAACTTTGACATGTGAGATCTATCACTACCTTTTAATTGGGTTATTCAACATTGTGATAACCTTACCGTATTATCAGCGCCCTAAATTAGAATAATACTGATGTTATGCACAATTCTAGAATGG